CGTTTTCGGCAATACTACGGTTCTCTGTTCGGGTTACCAAATGCTGTATGTTCGTTCAATCGGTTTCCCCGATTCTTCCAAGCTGCATGCCGCCGCCTGGCCTATTGCATGACCAGCATGTACATTGATGACTTGACAATCCAGGATTTTGGTATTATGGGCGGCACTGGCCAGGCCTTCGTCAACGAACTTGCACGATGCCTTGGCTCACCCTTCCAAACAGAGAAACATCAGTCTTTGGCGGCCCAGTCTGACTTTCTGGGGTTGATCCACGACGTGGCAGCCTGCCACCAGGGTGCTCCTGTTAAGTTCTGGGTCCGTGACCGATTGCTTACCAAGGTCACCGACATCATGGAGGAGGCCATTCAGACGCGTCGCCTCCCTCCAGGACTGGCGGCCAAACTTTTTGGCTGCCTGGGATTCTTGACCACGGGATGCTTCGGCAAGCTCGGCCGGTCGGGCCTCCATAGCATCAAGGAAAGACAATACTCCTCGCAAGTCGTGATGACACCGGAGATTGAACAATCCTTTGATCGAATTCGAGCACTACTTCAGTTGAAGCCTGAGAGAGAACTACCGCTTAATCCAGTGCGACAACACCGGTACTTGGCTGCATCCGATGCGGCGCAAGAGAGGCCTCGCGAGGGTTCGGCGGGAGTCTTGTTCATTGACCCCCGTGGTAGTCGAAGGGCCTATGTTGTCCACATCAGCCCAAAGGTCTTCACGGTGTGGTCCAATCATGAGGCCAAGATTGCGCAGCTTGAGCTCTTGACAGTCTACATGGGCCTTGCGTATAATGCTTCATCAGCTCGCGGAATGCATGGTATTTGGTTTGTTGACAATATCGCTGCACTCATGGCCCTCATACGAGGCCGCAGCAACAACGATGAGCTGGATTCTATGGCCGGGGCTATCCATGGCCTTCTGTTTGCACTCCGTAGTGCATGCTACTTTGAATGGGTCCAGAGTAAGGACAACTGGTCAGATGGCATCAGCAGACAGGGAGAACACGACACGTGGTTCCAACAACATGCTCCTCCAGCTGCCCTACCACCTCATCGCTCATATCTTTCAGTTCGTTTGAGTGCTTTGGATACGTTAGTGCCTTGGATGGAGTGCTCCCACAGGGAGAGTGTCAGATGTCAGATGACACAA